GTCTCTCGGGAGAGCACGAGGCGTGGAGAGCCTGAAGAACATCATCTGGAAACAGGTACCGGACGGATCCGATCCTCCAGAGAAATCCCTGACGGAGCCGACTGTAATGAAGCCAGCGCAGATCCAGCAAACCCGAGCTGGAGCCCCAGAACACTGCAGCGGGCCGGCGTCAGATCACACTCAGGAGACCCCCGGCTCACAGCGCTCACCACACTGACACACACACACACACACACACACACACACACACACACACATTATTCTGCTGAACAAAAGTTGAGTGAAATATCTGAGACTGACACCTTACAGCTGACCTGATCTCCTTTCTACAAGTTGTGAATGCGTCTCTGCTGTGTCTAGAGTGTGTGTGTGTGTGTGTGTGTGTTTGAGCTGAGAACAGCACACAGATAATGTCCTCTGTCTCTCTGAAACTGACCCGTTTAGGCTTTGATTCTAATTGTGGCGTTTTGGTGACTGTCGCTTTAAATGCAAATGAGATTCAGAAGAGGGCGGAGCTACAGACAGCAGGTGTAAATCAGCAGTGTGTGTGTTGTGAGTGCTGGTCAGGTGTGTGTGTGTTTCAGTGTGAGTGTGTGTTGATGCTTCTGTCAGTCTATGTGTCTCCTGTCTCTGTTCATCTAGAACTGCACATCTATAATCCTCTTAGTCTATGCTGACATCATCTTCAGCAGCTCAAACACTCTAATGGCGAATGGACAGACGGCTGCTTCTCACTCAGGCCTGCTGGACATGCTAATGAGATGGACACTAGTGGGCGGGGCTTTCCCCCTCTGATGACACGTACAGCAGGAGAATGTCCATCACAGTGTTCCTGCATCAAGTCTGATTATAATAAACACAGTTCAGTACTGCTGAGCATCACACACACACACACACACACACACACACACACACACACACAGCTGTAATGATGTGCTCATATTCACTCAGAGGGTTAGATGAAGGCTCGTGTCTGTGATGTGAGGACTGCACTGCGCATGTCTGCAGGCGTTCAGGAATGCAGAAGAGCTCCAGCGCCGCCTGCCGGCCAGAGCTGTTACTGCATGGACTTCACCTCCGCCCAGCACACGAGCTGCACTGGTAAAATAACTCTGAACATCTCATCTGTTTCAGGACCAGCACATTTACATCACAAACACACAAATAAATCTAAAATAAACTGCTCTGAGTCTGCTTCTCCTCAATATTCTCCACTGTGAACAACAGAAAACAGCAGCAGCTGATAGAACTGCAGATATCAAGGCGAGGAGCTCCCCTGATCACCTGACAGAAGTCACCTGTCCTGTTGTAGGCAGTCATTCAATCATTCACTTTCTTTTGGGCTCAGTCCCTTTATTCATCAGGGGTTGCCACAGTGGAATGAACTGACAACTATTCCAGCATTTGTTTTACACAGCGAATGCCCTTCCAGCTGCAACCCAGTACTGGGAAACATCCATACACTCTTATTCTCACACACACACTCATACACTACGGCCAGTGTAGTTGATCAGTTCCCCTATAGCGCATGTGTTTGGGCTGTGGGGGAAACCGGAGCACCCGGAGGAAACCCACACCAACACGGGGAGAACATGCAAACTCCACACAGAAACAGCAACTGACCCAGCCGAGACTCAAACCAGAGACCTTCTTGCTGTGAGGCTACCGTGATAACCACTGTGTTTTTGGCAAGTTTAATGAAAATGTTTCACACAGAGGTTGAAGTGTGTTGAAGCCAGTGAGTGTGTGTGTGAGTGTGTGTGTGTGTGTGTATTAACACAGGTGACTGTTAAAGCTGCCGCTGATCCTCTGCTCATCTTCAGCGCTTCTCCCGCTATAAGCTCTGTGTGTATCTGAATACAGTCGAGCAGTGGAGAGCTATACATGTGCCTCTAGATACATTTAGAATTGTTCTTACCTGTACAGCTAGGTGTGTGTGTGTGTGTTTTACCTGTTCAGAGGATGATATCAGCTCTGTTCTCAAGACTCTGCGTCAAAGCACATGCGCAGTAAGGGTCGCGCAGGCCGACGTCACGCAGGGGGCGGCGCTGCAGCTGTGTTCTGCAGACAGGTGTGTTCCCGGCTGCATCCAGATACTATTGGAGACCCCTGCTCCAGACTGTGCACCTGATTTTCTCTGTTCTCAGCTTCACTGCTGCTGTGTTCTGGGCCTGTGATCAGCAGAACCACCACTGGGATACGTTCAGGCCTGTAGTTCGAAAGACCCACACCTCACTGACAAGGTTCACGTGTCCCACACACGCGCTCACCTGTCCTGTTGTGACTGATACGCCATCACCAATAGCGAACATAACCCCAGAGGAGCCCTGGCACCCAGCAGATCCTGTGTTGGCGTCACAGAGGACAGGTATATTTCAATAATAACAGAACACATTCACAACTCATCCCTGCTGATCCTGCATGGAGCAGAAATCTGCGTCAAAATGAGTCTCGTTCTCATAATTCTTCTTTTGAAATCTTTAGGACGTGTTTAGGAGCATCATGTGTGTTTATGACCATCCGACAACACACACCGCCGGCAGCAGCAGAGTCTCATTCATCTGTGCTGGTTTGGTTTTATTTCTATAATGATCATAATGTTTGTGCTGATTCTGTGATCATTTACTGACGGCTTTCCTCAGCTTAGATTTTATGAACATGTTCAGCGTTTAGTTTTCTGAGTGAGTGAGTGATCGCCTGCTGTACATAAATAAGCCACACACACACACACACACACACACACACACACACACACACACACACACACACACACACACACACACACACGTCTGTACGGTTTTCTTCCATTACAGTGCTCATTACAGCTCTTACCTCTGAAGTCCAGCAGCATCTGCACAGACAGCACAGCAGTGTCAGCGGTGTATCGTGACATTCCAGTATTCAGCCTAATGCCACATGGTTTGCCGTGTAAATCTGCTCTTATATTTCCTTCAGTGTTTAACATTTATAAAAACAACAAACATAAAATCTAGAAAACCAAACCGACACATGACAAACGGTTACCGGCTTAACCAGCACAGACCTGCAAATATTATATAAACATGTCAAAATACAACACCGCACAAACAAATGAGACGCTTAAATGTCCCTGAAATCCAACCATGTAAACCTCATAATTAAAGAGAAATGAAGGCGAATAACTGCCAGAAGAGTTCTGAAGATGAAGATCAGCTCTTCACACATGCGGGTCGCTGCTCACGCTCAGCTTTGCTCAATGAAAGGCAGATTTCAGACTTCGTGTCATCTTTACTAACTGTGTTCAGGTAAAGGTTAATGTGATGAAGTGCTGAAGCCCTCTCAGTGGAGAACTGACTGAGATTATAGAGTCAGAGTTGGCGGATCTCTGCGGTGTGTGTTCTGCTGCCCAAGAGGAGGCGCAGTATCATACCGACACACTGTACATCATCAATGAAGCATCGGCATCCAGTCAATTCATCATCTGTTGAGCATTACCTCTACAATAATAGACGTCAGTAAACAGTTTATTACTGCAGCTACAAATGCTCCATTCTTGACTCATAAACATGTATAATGTGCTTAATAATTGTACTTTCATACTTTAATGATTTATTTTTCATTTCTAAATTAAGTATTGTATTATTTACAAACCAGCTGTGTTTAAGAGTAGTTGAGGGTTTTCGGATCATTCAGAATGAGTTAGTAAATGATTAATAACTATTATAAATACCTAATCACTTATAAATGATGATTAAAGGCTCAGAATCAAATGAACAATAATCTGCAATCCTGTCTAAAGAGTCAAATGACTGTAAAGTTCAAGCATTGCCGAATAACAGGAGTGTCAAAATACAAAATAAAACTGGATAAAACAACAACATAATAATTGAACAATATAATAAGATGCAATGTTTAAACTCTACAGGGATTTTATTTTAGATTAGCTTGCAAAGATTTATTTGCAGTTGGTAAGAGCAGTTTCATTTGTGTGTCTTTAAATGAAGAGGAATGAATGATGTTGTTTTTCCTGTTGAGAACTTAACTGAGCCTTTATTTGTCATTTATAGAGCATTAATACTCCTCACTTTAGATTAGCTCACAAAACTAGATGAAGTTGAGTTCATAAAGCATTTATTAACATACAGAGCAACCAATGCCTGAATAATAAGACACATAAACGTTGATTTCAATAGTTATTAATCATTTACTAACTCATTCTGAATGATCCGAAAACCCTCAACTACTCTTAAACACAACTGGTTTGTAAATAATGCGAATGAAAAATAAATCATTAAAGTATGAAAGTACAATTATTAAGCACATTATACATGTGTTTATGAGTCAAGAATGGAGCATTTGTAGCTGCAGTTATAAACTGTTTACTAACGTCTATTATTGTAGAGGTAATGCTCAACAGATGATGAATTGACTGGATGCCGATGCTTCATTAATGATGTATAGTGTGTCGTTATTATAAAGTGGTACTGGAGTTCCTCCATCAGACACACAGCTCTGCTCCAGCAAACCTCATACAGCTGGTAGAAACACACACTGACGTCTGACACACTGGATCTGGACATCTGAGCCAGAAAACACCGCAGATCTCAACACCACCGAGACGTATTAAAGCTGCTGTTATTAACTCATCACAGCTGTGGAGGAATCAGACGAGCTGAGAAACGGCAGAGCGACACCAGCCCAGTCTGAACTTAAAAACAAAGCCAAGAAAGAGTTCAGGTTACTGTCATCATTATTATTCATTATTATGGGCATGTCGTTATTATACAGCTACTGACGGTGGAGTTTACTCTGCTTATAAACACTGAACACCTGAATGTCCAGTCCTGAGCATCATCACTTCTGTTTAATGCAGGTGAATGAGGCACAAGCGGAGGTCCAGTCAGTCTTCAGCCATTCCTCTGATCCATGTGTGGAGTTCTCAGACTGACGGTGCGCAGGTCTGCTCCTCAATAACAGCACCGTCTCCACTCCACACGCAGAAACACAAGCACACAACATGATGGAGTTTCTCATTTAATTTATAAAAAATGCATATACCCACTGAAGCTGAACAACATCTACCACTTACTATCCTGGTGGAGCGTGTACTCTCCGTGTACTTTCAGTTTGCATGAACAGAATAAAATTATATTAACAGGCAAAGAGACAACACAAAGATAACAAACACAGCCGACGACATCTCCAATATAAAGGAAAACAACAGGGAGCAAATCAACATCATAAACTAAGATAAGTGCAGTAATGCGCCCAGACCTAGGAAATATTCATCTGCATTATTCCTTTCGTCTTCTGCAGAGTCCTGCGGCCAGAAGCCAACCGGAGACAGCACATCTTCTCAACACGTTCATGCAAGCGGATATATCTGAACAGAGTACAAATGGAAATAGATTGATCTCATAGAGTACTGGGCAAAATATGAAGAGGAGGACGCGAGTAAACATCGTCTGATCTGTATCTCCAACCCTCTATAGTGTTTCATTTAGCAGAAAATTATAAGAATACAACTGAAGAGCTACATTCATCTCCATGAGCACAAGTCCACGTGTAGAAAACAAAGCAAACTGGAAAACAAAGGCAGAGGAGTTCCCTCCAGCACTCTTGTGTATTTGTGCCCTAGGGAACACACGCAGATCCTAAAGAACACGTATGACAAAATACTGCATATATCTACTGAAGACTGCATCAGGTGGTGGACGGGGTAGCTGCCATGATACAGGAAATAAACTCCAGATTTCCCTTAGCCGGAGAGGAAACCGCTGATGTGTCCACGTGTCAGTATGAAGCAGACATGATGAGCAGGTTCACATCTGAAGAGCCGGCGGGTGCTTTCTGTGCGGTCTAAACGGGGGATTCGCGAACACACGGTTGATACACATGCGTGACAATTACATAAATATTCATATACGTCATTGGCCGGTGGTTTGTTCAGGGAACACAGAGGGATTCGTCTGTTTGCTCTCCATCCATGTTCAGCCCAGAGGAATCGAGACCTTGCATCTTCAAGTAGGCTATAATCATATAGGTGTGTGTGTGTGTGTGTGTGTGTGTGTGTGTGTGTATCTGAGTATTTACCTACTGATGTAAAAGGCTCAGCGTCACCGCCTGCCTAACGGCTTCATCTCTCCATTTGGCACCTTGATTCGTTAACAGGTGAAGCGGTGCAGCAGGTGTGGAGAAACTAAATCATGGGTGGAGGTTAGAGGTCAGAGGTTACTGGATGTCTAGTCAGTGTGGTCCTGCTGCTGTCCGGCGTCTCCATCCTCCATCTTCAGCCGTTTGCTGTCGGGCTGCTCCACCTGCTCTCCGTTCTGTCGTTTGGTTGGTAGTGATGCTGATGCGGAGGCGTGAGTCGCCAACATGTGCAGCGGACTCGCTAAAAAACAGACAGATATTGCATTAAGCATCGCTCAAACTGAAGAAACGTCACCAGCGCAGCTCTGCCGATACAGCTGTAGCCGTATAATTAGCATTAGCGTCTCCTCACCGGTGCTGGCGGAGCCCTGTATCGCCGCCGCCGCCACATGCGTGCCGTTCTGCGTGATGGGTTTGACGGGCAGCTGGTGCTGACCCCGCGGTGCGACAGCGAGCGGCTGCAGGACACGGCTGGAGGCTCCTGGAGCTGCAGCGACCGCAGGCACCGGCTCCACGGTCACTGCGGAACAGGAGAGCAGCGTTACAGTAGACACAAACACTCACACGCTCTCACACACACATGCAGCAGGCTGACCTTTGACCTCCTGCGCGTCCCCGTTCTGCTGCTCCGCCCTGAACACACACGCCGCCGGGATCTGGTGCAGCAGGTGCAGCGTCTGCATGACGGGCTGCGGCGCGGCGCTGGACGCCGGTGTGGCCACACTGAAGCTCACGGGTTTGAGGCTCTGCTGAAGCGGCTGCTGCACCGCAATCAGCACCGGAGAGCCTGCAGAGGAACACACACACACACACACACACACACACACACACACACACTCACAGACAGACAGACACACACACACACACACTCACAGACAGACAGACAAACAAACACACACACACACTCACAGACAAACACACACACACACACACACACACACACACACACACACACACAGACAGATAAACACACACACACACACACACTGACAGACAGACAGACACACACACACACACACTCACAGACAGACAAACAAACACACACACACACACACACTCACAGACAGACAGACACACACACACACACACACACACTCACAGACAGACAGACACACACACACACACACACACACACTCACAGACAGACAAACAAACACACACACACACACACACTCACAGACAAACACACACACACACACACACACACACACACACACACACACACACACACACACACACAGACAGATAAACACACACACACACTGACAGACAGACAGACAGACAGACACACATCTGACCTGGTGTGTTCTGGGTGAAGCAGGACTCCTGAATGACGGCCAGTTTGGGCTGTGGGGCTGCAGCGGCGCT